TGCTGCCGTTGCAGCTCCTGCTGCGCTGGCCACGCCAGCCGCAGCAGACGAACCCCGCAAGCGGTTCGAAGCCGTGCCCGATCCGCTCCCACCGCTGCTGCTGCTGCTGCTGCCGCGGCTTGCTCCTGGTATCTTTGCTGAAGTCTCGTCGCCTTCCTCCGCCGGCCCATGCCCCCGGTGGTGAGGGCCTTCCGTGTCCTCAAGGGCAGGCGCTACAGACGACACCTCCATCTGGGGGTTGTGCCCAAATGTTTCCTCCCCCTGCAATTCATCCTGCATGCGCCCAGTCTGCGCCTTGCTTCTACACGTCTCGCACATCCCCGCTTTCCCCTCCTGGGAGCTACCGACCTCTGGTTGGTCCTTTCCACATTCAGCGCATTCAGGGGAACCTTCCTTCTTCAGGCTCCCTTCAGCTTCATCGTGGTGCCGCTGCAGATGCCTCTCATCTTTGCCAGAAATGCACTGGTCGTCGAGTGCGCCCGATCCTTCGCCTTTTACTTCCGACGGGTTTTGCTTCTCGCTGGCACAGGCGCCCCAGGTAGGGGGGGCTTGTTGGACTTCATCGGAAGCGTCGAGATGCGGACACGGCTCCGTGGCATCCAGCTCTGTCGTTCCAGAAGGGACAGAGGTGTTTGTCGCCTCTGCTGCTATCGAGGCACCAGCGGCTTCTTCAGTCACTGAGTCTGCTGCTACTGCAGCGACGGCGGGGTCGTCGGGGCACGAGAGAATGCCCATCGTGCTGATGCGCACTGATCTCACGTCTACAGGGACGGCCTCCGTCAGCGTCTCTTTCCCTCAGTTATCTCTCTCTACTTCGACTCTGCGCCTGTCGCTGTCGCTCACGCTGCTGTTGCTGAGGATGATGAATGTGACGAAGGGGTTCTGCTCCCCTGCTGACACCGTTAGTATGCGCCTAAGGCGGTATGCCCTTTTGCTTGCCTTCAGCAGCCCTCGGTGCCTCCTTTGGACAGGCCAGATCTTGCCTTCCAATTGCATAAACACTCAGTAAAGATGCAGATACATGTAGAACAACTTGGGCCTATGAAAACTACGAACCCATAACTCGAAACCCTCTGTAAGCCAGTGCTGCAGACGGCCGATGGCGGCTACGACGCCTTTAGGTTGCTCTGAGAAGTGCGCAACAGTAAGAAGTTGTTGTCTACTGTTTTGTTTCAAGTTGGTAGTTTTGAACAGAAGTTAGATGGGACAGGTCTTACGCCTTGGGCGGTGGAGCGACTCGACGTTGGGCGTGGTCTGGGGAGGCAGGCAGCAAGTGGAATGGCCACTGGCTGTAGTTTAGGGGGGGAGAAAGAGCTTGACCTGGACCTTTGAGCCTCTGAATGGGCCTAATGGCCCAAAGAAGAGCAGCGCGACACAGAGTGCGGCGCCACAGCTTGGATACTGCGTCAGGCCAAGCCGCAACGAGGGTGGACGGCTATGCAGCAGCCTCGAGGCCTCTTCTGGTTGGCTGGAGATGAGATATAGGCAGAAAATCCGTTTATATTTGCTATTGTAGGAACTTGTGCATGAGAAACGCTCGAGATTAGCAGGGGCCACACACACGGACGCCCTAGGCGTCAACCCCCCCGGCAATATCTGGATCAGGGACGGCTGATGGGTGGGCCACTGCAGAAGAGCTCAAGAAACGAAGTTCTGAAGCAGTTAAACACGATAAATGAAAGAGTTGCGGACAAATTGCTGAGGAGCAGAAAGGCATATACCAGTGCTGTGCTCCTGCTGCCCTAGCCCACGACTCTTTTCTGTGGCGCAGCAGCGAGTGGTTAAGGGCACACTGAAGCAGCGCCGTGACAGTGCAGTTCAAGTCTTTCAGGCCTTTATCTGTTCAAACGAAGTTCTGTAGGACAAAGAAGGCAGGCAAATGAGTAGAGGCTTCGGTGCCTTGGGGCTATGATGGCTGCAGCGGCCACAGACAACGGTGTTGCTGCTTGCTGCCCGTTCAAACCGTTCCCTCGTAGCGTCATCAGGTTTGCACATTTGGTGCGCCGAAAGCCAACGGAAAGTCGAATCTCACACACTTATAGCGTCTTTTCAAAGATTTATTCATTTTATTGTTGCTTCTTCCGCCGCCTTCTCGCTCGCATGGGAAGGCTGGCTGCTCCCCACTATCGTGGCCGGCCGGTTCAGCAGCAGAAATCGAATATTCAAACCAGTTCAAACAGGCATGTGCTCGCGCCTACCAGTTCGCTGTAAATTCATGTCAATGTCTTCACAAACGGAGAACCTACAGCCTCCGTCAGTCCTCGTAGCGGCCGCACCTGACACGATCGGCACAAGGCGTAAAGCCGTCACTTCGTTGTCTATGCATACGCGATCATAAAAGGCCAATGCGCTACGCTCTAGGGACTAAGAAAAA